CCAGCTTTGTGCATACATCACATACATTTGCACACAATCACTGACAAAAACTTAGAATAAATCTTGTGATTTTTTTGGGTTTTACACATTCCAGTTTCTTTGAAGCACTGGGAAGAACAAGTATACCGATTACTTCTGTGCAATTTTCTTCTGATGTTGATGGCAAAAATTAGCAAGAAAATTAGTGTAAACCCCAGAGAAATCAGAAACTTAGATGGAATGAATCAATTAGAATAAGCGCAAAAGACTCAAATAATTGGTTTTCGACGCTGTAGAATGCTTCTCAGTCATGAATTTGAATTCTGACATATTGCATATTTTTGTTCTAATATTTTTCTATTTCAGATAATGTTAGTCATTTTGTGAAATTTGGGGATTTAGTTTCTTTTTCCTATCCCACTATCTTGTTTCTTCTCTTCCGTGTTGATTACGATTGACAAATAGGTTAACAATCCAAATCTACTTTTATATGATTTTATGAAGACTAATAGAAGTTTTTATGTTGAAGGTTGAATCATCTGCTGAAGACACAACCATTGAAGAGAAACTACTGGATTCTGTTTTGGCAACATTGATCAATACAGATGAAGCTGTGTCTGCACGTGCTTTTCTGGAGGCCAACAAAGGAAATGAGTCATGTGGAAGGTTGCTAAAAATGTGGAACTGGTGAGTTTATTTGCAATTCTTCATTCTTTTTTTCTTCTTTTTTCAACTGGTGAGTTAGAATCTACCTTTGTGCAAAGTCTATTTTGAGAGTTGCTCCTATCTGAATATGAACTTCTGGTTTCTGATTGTGGTAGCTTGAAGCCGTCATCTCAAAAAGTTCTATCACTAGTTGCTGAGGTAAAGACGCTTGAGAAGGATAAGGAACATCTAAGAATCAATCTTCGGACGGCTGAAGAAGAGGTAAGGAGTGCAGAAAATTTCGAACCTTTGCTTCTTTCCCTGATCTGTCCTCTCTTGATTTTTCCTGGAATACTCTGTATTGTATGATGTATGCAGGTCAAATTGCTTTTTGAAGAAAACAAAGTCCTAGATGTGGAGAACAAAAGATTACTGAGGCTATACCAGAAGGAAAGAAACCATTCTGCGTCTGGTGGAAAACATATTGACAGTGCATCAGCGAAGGTGAGACAAATGGAAAATAATTGCTTTGACTCGTTTGTTCTATGTATTGATCTGGTCTAATATATTGCATTGTTTCTCCGTTGCAGTCAAATAAGCGCAAATCAAGCTCTAACATAAGCAGCCCGATTCAAGGGAAGATTGATTTCAGTGAGCAAGAAGCAGCAAGACAGCCCCTATCACCCTTGCGCTGTAACTCCCCTAACTCTAGAACCTATAAGAAGTAGTAGAAATTTTTTCAAACAGTCCCCTTTGTACCTTGTGTATTCAGGATACCTTATGATTGGGGGTTAAGATCACAGAGTTCGGAATGATTAACAAGTTTGATTGTAAGAATCACTTGCTAAGTCTTTTAGTAAGTGGTAGGGAATTTTTCTTTTCAAAGGCGATGCCAAGGTCTCGTCTTTAAAAACTGGTATTTCTAGGGATGCAGCAATTACATACAGTTGTGAAATTGTTTGCGTTTATGATGAATTTCTGTGATCATGTTCTTGTATATTAGTATAGCCTAGTTGCATGGTGCAATTTGCGTGATGTTTGTTAAAAAATCTGTTCACAACAGGTATATTTCCAAATACGTTCTCAACCTGTTCATGTCCTTGTATCTTACTAAAACCACAAACTAAAGCGATAGGACTAATAGATGGAGAAGTTTACCAATTGTGAGTTTGCCATGTCACTAGTGTAGTACAAACAAGGCTTAGTGTTTATGTAGCAGATGACTGTTGAAAATTTCATTTTCATACCCAGTTTATGGTACGAGAGAATCCAAAAAGAAGACGGGTCAGAAGATACTGATGCCGATGGTGGTGACATTCCACGAAGCGAAGGCGAAAGTCTTATACAAGACGAGAATTCTGATGGATTCAATTTATATGACAATTGACTCCGCAACCTTTATTGCGCAGCCTCGTGAATACAACCGTGAGGTTGCGAAGCAGATCTTGTGCAATTAATAAATTAAAAAAAAAGAATGAAGGAGCGGAACCATCCTTTGACTTACTTCGGTGGCAAGAGATTCAGGAATTACTACGCAAGATAAGGGGACTCTGTCAAAGAGGCACACTCATCTCGATGGCTTGACGGAACACGGCCACACACCCTTTTGTTGTCAACGCGACTGAAACGAAAGAGTGGCACCTCATCCACTGCTTTGTACTGAAAGTGGTGCTCCTCGTCATGCTTGCCATGGGAGGGGATGATTACAAACCATCCATTTTGCCAGTCCCGGTCTCCCTGACTAGTCGGGGGATCCCTTGTATCATTCCGTCATTTCACAAATGTAGGGTCTGTAAGGGTGACGAAAGGTAGGATGCCCTTGTTTGGGTTTTGTTTTCTAAACTGGGTTTGCCGCAAAGGCAACCCTCCATATTTGGACGCTGGTTCAAGTCAACAGTGGCAAAGATTGCCTACTTCACTTCGCTTCACTTCCACCTCACTTCGTTTGCTTCGTAACCTCATGTTTACACAAAATGTTGTTGTAAAGGATTTCCCACTATAGTCTCGAGAGAACAATCCTAACCCAAAGCTTGGAAAACAGTTTATAATCCTGCCTTCGATCTCTGCAAGCGGAAGGTTTCACACTCAACCAGCAGGAGATTGCTCGACCATACCATTAGGGAGAGGGGATTGAGATGATCTTGAAAGTCAGGCGAAGCCAAGACACATCCATACTAGAAGCCATTTGAACTTCTAAAAAAAGGACTCGGGGGTGACCTAACCGAGTCCATCTTGTTTCCTTGTACCATCCCAATGTGATTAAGATCAACCCGATACCTAGACGTTTCGAGCTTTGTATCGATCAGATGCATCAAAGGAGTGAGGGGAGGCTTGAAAAACTGCCGGAATGGTCCTATAGGTATCTTTTCCCACCGGAGGTAGTGCCCATCGGGAGAAGGGGTTGAAATGAGGTTTCTATTACCAGAAAGCGTCCATTCAGATGATATCTAGTGGCAAGCACAGACCTGATGAGATCCCTATTTCCATCCTATTCATTCCTTAAATAGGCAAGTCCCTTATGCAAGTAAAGAAAAGGGTTTGGGATCAGCTGCAAGTTACAAAGTCAAAGTAGTTGTGAGGCACCGAAGGTGTCCATGTGGAGAAGCGAAGGCTCCGCATGAAATTACGAAGTACTGAATTTGCATATAGAAAGACGATGGATCCATGTCTTATAACAATGTACAGATAAATGCTACAAGTGGCCATAAGTAGAAGAACATGAAAGACTGAGACTTATGTGGATAGCTTAATAAAGAAAAGGGGAATGAAGCCCCCAGAGTTGATAGTTCGATCCATCGATAGAAAAGTAAAAAGGTTTATGGGACTTGGCTCCATGATAAGGAGGCTATCAATAACTTAGTTGTTAGTTTTTTATTCATTGAGGAATCTGTTAATGGGAATATTTGTTCACTCCCTGGCGTATTTCCCTCTCTTGGTCCTAGTAAGATAATTGCTCTTGGCATACCTTTACTTATGGGGGAAGTAAAAGCGAGTTTGTTTGGATTGGTTTTGTGCATCAACAAATTTGTTTTGAAAAAGTCCAACATATTTTGCTCTCCTAATATTGGTGCTGGTCTTGCCCATAAGATAAGTAATGTTTGTAGTTCTTCTTTGTCTAAGTAACTCCCTTGGGGTGCCCCTCATCTATTCTCGAGTCACAAGTCCACTACAAGGATATTATTGAGAAAAGCCAAAAAAGGCTTGTTGCTTGGAAGGCTGTATGTGTTTATCTTTCGCTGGGAGAGCTACTATGATTCAATCAGTGACATCTTCCATTCCAATATATACCATGCAGTCAGTAAAGCTACCAATTAGCGTTCGTAAGCGGTTGGAATAGCGTAAGTTTGACGCAATAAAACTCAGTTTGGTTCAATCTTTGGTTAACAATGCCAATGCCTTGACCAGATTGAAGCATGGGTTACGGCATGCCATGAGGCTAATCTAGCAGAGAAGAGAATAGCGAATTTGACTCACTTTCTTTCATGAATAAAGGGGCCAAGCATTATAGGAGGACGCGCTTTAAAAATGATCGAGGGGGCGATAGATATGCAAAGCGAACCCAATGCCACAGGGCTGAAGCCTTCGTGTTCATTCTCTGCGTTGTACGTAGCCCCGCTCGCTCTTCCTTTGCTGCTTTCGTGTGCGGCGAACTATGCTAGCTGAGCAGTTTCTCATTCTGCTTCTGTGGTGTGGGCAATTCCACCTCTACTGATTGATCCAACTAACTAATCTCCTAGGTACAAAGGCCTGATTGGGACTCACAAGATGGCTCATCAAAGGGCTTAATCTGCTAACAATTTTTTTTTTTAGAACTCACTTTGTAAACAGTATAACGCAAGCTAATAGGTTCGATGAACAGTCACTCACTTTTGACAGTTATACAATTCTAGAAGATGCTCTAGAATTGTGTCAATCATGTTTATTAGAAGGGCACAATAAGCAGTCTATTAGCTTAATATTAGGAAGACTATAAGAGAAATTTCATGTCATTTAGTACTAGAGTCTAGCGGTATTCATCTTTATTTGTAAGTGAGAGGTATTAAATTCGATTCTCAACAAAAGCGAATTTGAACCACATTATTGCTAGCTCATTATGAGGTTTAGCCTACTCTCTCACCCATTTAGTGTAGACAATATCGTTAAAAAAAACAGACAAATTTCATGAGATCAACACCTAATAAATGTCTTTATTTCCATTCAAACTCCCCATTAATTAGGTGAAAACTGAAAGAGTAATGCTAGGAGAACTAAGTTTTGAAAACTAAATGATATGGAAGTTGATGATTAGATTATTAAACATATCTATTTTCTATTGGTGACATATCATTTAGTTTGCAAATCTAGTCTCCTTAATATTACTCAAATTGAAAAGCAATGTTGTAATAATATTTCCCCCAACAAACCGTTGGACCCATTTATTTGGCTGCAGACCAGAAAAACACAATAATATATAAGTTTCCTCGACATATGTGAACAACCTCTGTTGACCAAATTGCTATAAAATTGCAAAAAAAATTATCAAGCTGCTGCAAATGGCTATCAAGGAATTCAAGATCCCTTCACGAATTCTAACAAACCCTTGCCTCAAATAACCGCTTCTACATCTTCCTCGTACACTAAACACATCCCAATCCCAGATATCATCTCTTCCCGCATTGGTTTGTGCTTATGCTCAAACGAAAATTCAAGCTCACTGATATTCTGCCACTCATTGCCGGTAAAGAATTCATGCCGTGGAAGGAAGAAGAACAAAAGGTGGTCTCTCCTTAAAAGATCGGTTCTCTGCTGGGCCATTAAACATGCTTTTCCATTGATGCTGAGTTTGAGGACATTTAAATAACGATGCATCCTCCCGAAGATCCCACACACCGCAAATCCCTTTAACTTCTGGTCAGTAGACCACCCTGGATGTAGCTTGACGCTGATTGACAATCCCACACTTCTGTGGTTGAAACACTCCGGAATTTCACTTCCAGGAACTACAAACAAGCATCCTAAACCAGGACGATGCGTACTCGTGCAAACTTGCATCTCCACCCGCTTGAAACAGTTAGCAAAAAGTTTAATCACGTCTACACGAGCTGATTCCAGTGCCTCGCAATTGTAAGCTTCAACACAGGATATTGTAGAAGGAAGCTCTGGGATTAATGTTTGAAGACTGTTGCAACTAGACACTCCAAGGTATTCAAGTTTGGAAAGTTGACAAATACTCATGGGTAAGCTAGAAAGAGGATTTTCACTTAGATCCAAATACCTTAATGAGGAGAGGCAGCCGATATCATTTGGAATTCCTCCTTCCAAAAGATTGCAGTTACTTAGACTCAAGTGCGTTAAAGATTGCAAACCAGATAAAGAAGGCAACCGCAAATGTGCGCGACTTGGACTTCTTTTTTGATATCTGCCGAAATATAATTCCTTCATGTTTCTCAATAGACCAATGGAAGAAGGTGGTTCAGTTATAGCAGTTTCACGCACATCAAGCCGTTCCAAACTCTCAACATGGCCCAAGCCTTCTGGCAACTTTTCAAGCCTCAAGCAAAAAGAAACATCAAGATCTTCCAGAGACTTTAAGCCAGATACACTTCTTGGAAGACGCGCAAGGTTTTGGCAACCACTCAAGTTCATAACCTTAAGTCTTTCAAGCGTTCCCACGGATTTGTCAACTTCATACAGGTTGCAAAATTCAAGAATCAGACGCTCAAGATTTGGCATACCTCTGAAGTCGGGGGTTTCCACAAGATTTGGAGAGTTAGAAAGTTCAAGGATTTTCAAATTGTATGAATGCTGTTATCAAGTGAAAACATAGCAAAATTAGCTTCGCATGATATTAATGTAGGTAATAAAAATCAATGAGAGAGAAAAGTACCTTTATTCCCTTCCAAAGATGTTCAAGGTGACTAAAGATCATGCGAAGTTCCACTAGATGCTCTGGACAGAAAGATGATGGCAAAGTTTTTAGAGGAAAGTTGTGCCATACAAGGAACCGCAAACTATTGGGAAGATATTCAAGCCCGTTAGAGAGGGTCGTATCATATAGCTTGAGGTATCTCAGTTTTTTCATCATTGAAAAGGATTTAGCATTCACTTGGACTGCTCCTTGCTCATCTGGGTCCATGATTATACATTCAATTGTTTCTGTTCCCTAGTCAACATGAATATATTCCAAGTAATACCATAAGGAAAGCAGTAACTAGTACAACACCATGTTGTACGTAAGACATAATAGCAACTAGCAATCAAATTTATCATTGTAATAAAAGCCTCTTACTGTATTTTCGCTCAGGACACGATTGATGTCATCTCTACGCCACAACCTGCTACGCTTGCCTGGATCATCAGGAGATTCTTGGCGAACAATTTCTCGACCCATTTCTTGGAGTAAATCATGCATCGATAGCTCACCGACTGAATTAACAGTTAAGAGAGATTTCTCAACAAGGACATCAATTCCAATATGTGCATTAAAACCGCTAGCTTCAAGTACCTCTCTTACTTGATCTTTGGTCTCTCCACTAAAGAAACATGCGATGTCTAGAAAAATATTCTTCTCATTGTCATCTAAACCGTCGTAACTTATTTTAAGTGTCTCAAAAACTTCTGAATTACAAATTTTGCCTAGTTTATCCAACATACTTTTCCATGCTGTTAAACCTCTTCCGTGCAGAAAAGATCCCAAGACTTTAAGAGCTAGTGGAAGACCTTTGGCATAATTGGCCACACGATTTGACAAATGAACAAAACCTGGTTCAGGGCAATCTTTCTTAAAGGCATTCCAGCTAAAAAGTTGAAGAGAGTCATCGTTATTGAGTCCTTCAACCTCAAACCGTCTCTCCACTCCGTGTTTAAATAACAAATGCTCATCTCTTGATGTAATGAGAACTCTGCTCCCCAATCCAAACCACTCTTGATTTCCAGCCAAATATTCTAATTGATGCAAATGGTTCACATCATCAAGAACTAAAAGAACCTTTTTGCCACGTAGAAACCTGCGTATCATTGCTGCTCCTTCATGAACCTCCCATATGTCAATCTTTTCCATGCCGATTTTACAAAGAAGTTGCTTTTGCAGGTGAGGTAGACCACCTTTTTCGACATTACTTCTAACATCAGCTAGAAATATTTGGAACTCAAACTCATGAGAGATTCTCTCGTACACAACTCTTGCAATAGTTGTCTTACCAATACCGCCCATCCCCCATATCCCAATAAAGCAACCATGATTCACCGTTGCATCTAAACACAAATCAATAATTGGTTTCGACCTTGAATCGATTGCAACAAAGTCGCTCACATGACATAATAATGTTGGGCGCAACTTTTTCCATACCACTTGAACAATATCTTTGACAAGCTTTGCTTCAGACCTATGGAAAAGAATAGAGTTAGATATATTAGTTCCGAAATGTTTTCACTATTTTTTGCATTGAATCAAGCCAAAACACAATAATCACACACCTAAATATTGAAGAAAATTGGGGTTCCATCATAAAACTAATGGGCGATATCAAGACTAGCCCAACTTGTTGGTATATGGTCCAGCCCATGATCAATGTTCTAGATTATTCTAGTAAGCAAGTGAGGTGGCTGGAGCATGCTAGACAATTCTAGCATGTTATTAAGTTGATGGAAGAAGCTAGAGAGTACTAGCTTCCTTGGTTGCAAATGGAAAGATCTAGAAGCTACAATTTTGTGGCTAGTCTAGAATTATCTATGCTAGAGGTTTGAAGAATACACTAGAAACTAGAAACTAGTAGAATGCCAAACCCTCACCTATAAATATGGGTGTGATGTAACCAATTAAGAACCAAGAGTGAGTAGAAAAGGATCAAGTCCAAAGCTAGAGTTCCACTCCAAGAGTGAGAGTGAGTGTGTTCCACTACACATGGTGTGAGTGAAGTTTAGTGTGAGAGAAAGTGTTGTTATACTTTCTTGTATCCATCAAGCCTTGTCTTTGGCTTGGTAAGACTACTCTTGTTGTACTCATCTTTTTCATATAGTGAAGATTGATCCTTGTTTCGTGGACGTAGGCATAAATTGCCGAACCACACATAAATTCTTAGTGTCCATTTTCTATTTTACGTTGTGCATTCTCTATCTTGTAGTACTGACATTCCTAACACAACTTACTTATAAGCACATGCAAGGTTCCCCCTCCCATCAATGTGAGATTCATTATCAACACGCCCCTTCCTGTGTGGCAAATTTTTAAGCCTAACACGTGGACAACATAATCGGATGACATGGAGCACATGTGGCCATTTGACTTCACATTGGGACAACCTGCTTTGATACCATGAAGAAAGTTGAGGTTCCATCATAAACCAATTGGCAATATGGAGAGTAGCCCAACTTACTTATAAGTTCATGCAAAGTCCCTCTTCCCATTAATGTGGAATTCATTCTCAACATATATGATGTGCATTGTATAAGTATTATACAACTACAGATGGAATTCTTTTAATGGCATTTATAGCTATGTTCATTGTAATTTGTGATATATTTCTATTCCTCAAACAGAAGTCACACTATGGGTATGAGTGTGCGGTTCTATGCGTGTGTGTGGGTGTGTGGGTGTGGTTGCAGGTGCGCGCGCGTCATTAAATAAGGACATGCTTGCGAGAAAAATCAAAACATTACCAGTCCTTTGAATCCCACCCAGAGAAATTTGCCACTTTCGCCAAAGCATATCTCCAACTTCGCACCTTCTTTTCGTCTACCCTGTCTTTTTCATGTTTATTGAAGGCTTCTGCAAAACATCCTGTTTGCTTTCTTACATTAGAGGGATCAACATTATAAAAAATTGGTAGCACTGCTTCTCTTGCTTCCATGCATTTAAGAATATGTAAAAGTTCGTCCAAGCACCATGACGACGTTGCATAACTTTCCGAGAGAACAATGAGTGCAAATCTTGATTCTTCAATTGCAGTAACAAGTCCGGGAGAAATAGATTCCCCTTTTTGAAGTTTAGGGTCATCCCTAAAAGTTATTATTCCATGACTTTCCAGTGCAGTGTATAAGTGGTCTGTGAATCCCTTTCTAGAGTCTTCACCTCTAAAGCTCAAAAATACATCATATTTCCATTGAGGAGTTGAAGGGGAGAAAAATGCACGGGCAACTCTGAAACGCCTCCGAGTGTAATCACCTCTAAAACTTAAAAAAACTTCAGGTTTCCATGGAGGACTTGAACGGTGGGAATGTGTGCAGGAAGCGGTGAAACCCTTGCGGGCATCATCACCTCTAAAACTCCAGAAGACATCATATTTCCATTGTGGAGTTGAAGTAGGAAAAGGCATACAGGTTCCTCCCATGCTCATCGCCACAGTACTCCCCAAAGGATTCATCATCATTTTAAGACTTGGCTCTTGGATGTACAGTAGACGAGAAGTTCTTTCTGTTGTGCGGTTTCTCTACTGCACAGAAAACACAAAATATGAATGAAACTAAACAAATACTCTATAAAGTGGCAAAACATCGGTTGTCTTCTCTCTTTTTATTGCTTTTTGTGTCTTGGCTTCATCTTGTTCGGAATACACTACAAAGACCACACACGGATGCATTAATGCATAAATGTTAGCATTTTGGTTATTGCCAATTCTAAACTGCAAAGGATAAATATATGCTTTAAGAACATACATGATCATGTTAGACATTAGTGCCTCTTTAACAGTACAACATCAATAACGAAATTTATTAATTAGACACAAAAGAGCAAAAAATAGCTAGGATTTGGAAAAGTAAAGAAAAATGTCATGTGAGAGAAAGATTTCGGGAGTTAATTATACTGACCGTTGAGGTACAACCACTGAACTAACTATATTTTGTTGCTTAAAACAAATGGGTGGCAGTTGGATTCTTTGGGACTTAATGAGAGGCATAAAGACAGGAGGAACTTACTCGGTTTCTTATTGCAAGTCTATCATATTTAAAGTGCACTAGACAGCGTTTGAACAACTACGATACTGTTTGTTAACCATTCTGTTTTTAGTTTTTATTTTTGTTAGATATATAAGGGAAATACATGGAAGACATGAGGATTAAAGAATGGTGGGGGAAGGGTTGTGACAACATGAAACTAGAAACTGAAATCAATTTTAAGTAGATAAAATCTAGAAACTGAAATCAATTTTAAGTAGATGGAAAAGACTGAAGTTCAGGCTTACTTCCTTGGATCAATCTCCTATATCAATATATTTTCGTTCGGTTTTAATTCATATTGCTACCCCATGTTATCCTGAGTTATATGCAATATAAATCGAACTTTTAAGGAGCTGTCAAGGTATTTGTTGAAACCGGAATTAAGAGCAAATGTGAGAATAATAAACACTTGTGTGCTTGAATTTGTTTACCTTCTTCTTGTAAAGTGAATGTCCCTACTGGGCCTACTCCATAGAACTAGCTACCAACCTGCGAATGTAGCTCAAATTGAGTGAATCACGTTAAATGTAGTTTTCATGTTCTCATTTTCGCCTTTATACAATTTTGAATTTGTTTTATCTAGGCACTAAAAGAATACACTGACAGCGGTAAAATTAATTAGAGCAATATAGCAAAAACATACAGCTATGGAAAAATTTGTAAGACAAATATGGAAAAACCTCCAAAAATATATATAGTTAGGAACGAGCATAACCTGGTTTCTTGGCAATTTGAACAGGGGGAACTTTCAATTGCTTGCCCTTCACTCTTCAGATATGAAAAATTAGCAGATGGTTAACAACCACTGAATTTAATTGTGTCATTGAAGATGCAGAACAGACAGAGGACCAGACAGAGGACCTTCTACAAAGATGCATTTTAAAAACCTGCGGGGGTAGCTTCCTCTCAAGCTGCAGGTATCTTCCTGCCGACTTGAAATAATAGTTTATTTAAAAACATTGATAATTAGGTGTATTGAGGTTGTTGGGTTGAATTAAAAAAACAAAGAAAGACTTGCAATATTAATCAATATCTCTAGGAAGCAATCTGAATCATCATAAACGACGTTGGAATACTTTAACCAAATAGAGCCGAGAGCTTCGCCTGCAACCGACTGCTGACTTTAGTGCTGACTATTCACTTGGAACTCCCCCGCACATAATGTCATTTCGTAATCCTGCATAAAATTAGGTACACATACTCCTACTTGAACAAGAGTTGAAAGATTCAGAAAAGAAAGAAAGAAAATGATAAAATAATAGTTTAATAAAATTGTTCGGGCAAGAAATCTGGCTGGTGGGCGTTCCTGGCTCTAGCACATAGCTCCTCGAGGAGTTGGCACTTTGGTTGATTGTCGGGCTCCTGCTTGTCGCAATACTACAATAGGAAAACAAAGTTAGTTCTGAAAAGTGCCTTTGTAGGGCCTTAGGTGAAGGCCTTGAGGCTCGCAATCAAAACCAACTAAGTGCTTGGGCATGCCACTGCCATCTCTGTATGGTAGATGTAGAACAAGCCGATTACTTGCGCCCCAAGTTATTTTTGACTTCTTGTTTATCAAAGGATTGTTGTAGATGAGTTAAGTCTACATTAAGTTCTTTTCTATGCCTTGAGATCAAAGACTTATTATCTTATATGTTTAAGGGGTGAGGGTCCAGATCTGATCAAGTCATCAGTTTAATTCATTTCAATCTTCTTATGACGATAAAACCATTAAATGAACCAGATCTAAGAACTAATGGGGGTTTGAGTCATCAAAAGATTGGAAAACACTTGAATATAAATTGGGGAATGCCTTATAACACCAGATCTATTAATTGAAAAACAGAACGAAGACAGTCGGACAAGATTTCACATTCTCGGGCAGGGTTAAACATCTTGCGGTTTCTTCTCTTGGCAGTTACAAAAGGATTGAATGCTAAAGGGAATGACTGGAAAAGAGTTTATATGTGGGAGATCAATACTACAATATTTAGGAAAAGGTAGCAGAACTATTACATAGACAAAAGATGTCTTTCTAAGGAAATCTAAGGCTAAAAGGGTGCAGAGTCTGGACAAAGCACGACTTTCTGGATATTTGCTTGGCTAAGAGACAGGTTGTATGTCTGTTTGTTTGATTGGTTGAGTGTCATTGTCTCTGGGCCCTCTTCCTCCTTTTATAGATGAATTAACTTGACTTGTGTTGCTTCTGTCCTTGCCTGAAAGCAATTTGAAGGGTAGGGAACTATTAGTATTTTACATGTTATGCCATTTATAAAGTACTTTTGGGCCGAGAGTTGATGGATTTCCATCGGTTGTCACTTCACTTCCTTTGTAAGCACCTAATCTTTGCATTTAATGGGGAATCATCATGTTGTCTCGAAGTGGACCTCTGGGCTTGGTGCTGGGCTCTGGGTATAAACTCTTCTTATTGAACTCTTTTGGGCTTTCTCTCATCTAAGCCCAAAGTTAAATATTGACCCAAACAAAAATAAAATAAAATGAAAAAAGAGAGTGTAATAAAATAATTTTGAGCTTATCACGGGCCATTAGATGGAAACATTTATTAATTTTGGGTTTATGCAGAGGACTGATGCTAAAACTTGCAAAACAACGTGGTTTTAAAAGGCTTCGGTTTGGTCCAATTTTCTAGTTCAATTCAGTTTTTATTTCAATTCAATCCTATAGTTGGTTTTAAATTTTTTTTTATTTTTCGATTTTTTAAATTCACCCCTAGTTCAAGAAAAAAAAGAAATAATTATTACATTTATCTAAATTACGAAAAATAGTCCGACCTAAATCAAATAGCTATGGCAACTTTTTTTTTCTTCTTCCAAATCACCTCCGCAGCCAGTCTCCCACTTGACATCGGAGGACTTTTGCTTATCCAAAACCCCAACACACACTCCCTCCCCTAATTTGAAACTTGAGACTTCACAGGCACAACAAAGCTCAACAGCAATGGCTTTACTTCGTCATCTCTCTTTCCCCACCGAACAACTCCTCCCTCTCACTGTCTCACACCTCCCCTCTCTCCAAAACCCACAACACTCCAAGCACACTCCGACCAGTCATTCTCTCTCCACCTCTCTTTCCTCCCCCGCTCTCTCTCCCCCAAACCCAATCTCGTTCCTCCTCCTTCAAGGCCAAAAATACATTATAATAAGTACAACTACTGCTAAAACCATTTGTCAGATGATATGAAATATGAATCATGAACATATACGCAATAAAGTTTCCCTTATGGAATCCTCAAATAATCTGGTGCAGATTGGATCACCTAGAGATGAAGAAACAAAAGTCCTACCAGTATAGAAGCATGCAAAAGAAGCTCTAAGCAATAGAACAGCATCGTTCGAATGATAAAACGCAAAGCATATGTATCCTCTACCATATTGAACACATTACAAAGTTCAGTCAAATAATTTACCGGTACTGATTCTTGAAAGACTGGAATCGATTATTGATACTACCAATCCAAATGTTTGAATAAACATCGTTTTCCCTCAAGAGTGAACTGCATTGTAACAGAATCATTTCGACTTAAAAGGATGTTTCCCCTGCAACAAATGCATATTCCCAAGTTAGCAATTCCAGTGTCACTATGATAGAGCATAGACACAAAAATAACCATACCAGTGAAGATCACGGTGCTCAAACTCATATGCAGCTTCAGCCACGACAAAGGAAGCTGTACCCTGGAACGGTAATGCAATCATTTAATAACAAATCAAAGCTTCAGGTATCACCTCTAGAATCCTGTTTTAACATATAATTTACTTGGACCAATCAACTCCTTGCTTCATCAATGTTCAGAAGTACAAAGCTTTCAAGATGTTCGCCACCATTTTCTAAAACAAACACGACATAGCACTGTATGCAAAATTGTGAGTTGCAATATAAACCTACGTAAGTAACATTAACCTCATAATATAAAATTTATTTTTACTCTAGAAGATCACCAAATCTTATGAAAAATAACTCCAACGATGGCTCAAAATACGAACTGTAAATCCAAATTTTGAAATTTAATTGCTTTATCTCCTTACCCCAATAAAGCCAGACGATTACTGATTACTAAGCATGCAATTCTTGAAAACCACCGAAATCAAAACAACAACTTCCACTCAATTTCTCAGCAACAGAAAGATCAAGCCAAATCAAAACCAACAACTTTCAACTAAAGTGCACAAAAGAGTCAAAATTTAATTGCTATACAGAACGATCGGTTCAATAAAAAACATTACATCAAACTGAAGAAACTAAAACAAAAGTATAGCAAATTATATACCTAAAAATGTCAAGCAACCAAGGCCATAATTAAAATGTTTCGCTTTAAGCAGATAATAGTGAGAGGGTGAGGATGAACCTGCTAATATGAATTGCAGATTCGAGTGGATGAAGCTCTGTGTTTCAAAAAAAAAAAACGTTCATATAGTTCACCTACAAGGATCATCACACAGCCAAAAATTAGATAGATTTGTACCAAGGAATACATAAGGAACGAAGAAATGGGGAAAAAAAAATCTACCAACAGAGGGATGAGAAGCAAGCACCAGGAAATTATGAAGAAGCACATGAATGAGCACAGTGAAACCAAAAAATTTGAATTATGGTTTTAACAAAGCAAACGGAAAACAAAACAATAAACAATGATTTTCAAACAATGCATAACCTGTTGAATCAGAGGAAAAAACTGAAAACCCATACCCTCCCATACATCACTCTGTCACTCTACTCACTGACCATGTGCACTAACCCATTAATTAACCCCCAAAAATGCACACAACCATGCTTTCTCCTCTATCTCTCTCTCTCTATCTCTCTCTCTCTCTCTCTCTCTCTCTCTCTCTCTCTCTCTCTCTCTCTAACATGATAAATCCCGCAAAACCGAACCTAACATATTAAACAATTCAAAAATCTAAGCTACTGTAATACCCTGGAATATATATATATATATATATATAATATGATTATGGAAAAAAAAACATGCCTGATGACAGAAAAGAAAAGGAAAAAGAAGAAAATGAAGGTGTGGGAGGAGGAAGAAAATGAGGGAGGTGCATAGCACCCAACCCAAAGCCTCATCCTGTCTACCTGTGCAACCCACCAGATCTGACCCATTCCGCCAATTTCCCGACGACTTTCCATCGGTTTTCCCGGTGAGTTGGGCGATGCCACCACCACCAATCAATTCCTTGTCATCCCAACTTCCTTTCCCACCCAAGTTGGATGGTTGTGGTCGAGGTTTCACGACGAACTCTCGTCGTCTTCTCCGGCGAGTTCGAAGGCACCCATGGCGGCTATCTGTCTAATTCTTAAGCCACCACCGTCGACCACCACCATGGGTCGACACCTTGTGAACCCAGGAACATGTCCCAAGTCTTGGTTGGGGCGGCGGAGCACCGGAGGTGGCGAATCGAGGGCCACCCTTTTCTAAGGTTATGGTGAGTTTCGAGGCAAATTGGAGCTTTTCCAAGCCAAATTGGACTTTGCCACAGGTATGAAACTTGTTATACTCATTGAGATCTACATGACTATAAATTTTGAGAATTTTTAGAATTAGTTGAATTTTCTAGCACGTTGGGGTGGCCGACCGCCACCCACTGCGGCGCGTGCAGCAGCGCGTGGCCAGATGGTCGTCAATGCTATTTTTAGGCTAAATTCGATGTCCTGAATTTAGTTTTGATGTTCGTATAACGTAGGTTAATCGTTTGAACCTAAATTCACTACGATACGTTGCTTGGTTAATATATGAATTGACGATCCGACTAATGGATCGTCACAAAACTTTGATACATTATAATGCGTAATATTTGAGGATCATAGAAACTTATAGGTCAGGAATCCAACATACGGATCTTATTGAATTGGATTTGTAAGCTCGTAAAATAAACGTCGAC